CCCAGCTGTTGGTATATCTCTCAGGATCATCATTTTGGATTAATGACCAGAGATTTTACCAAGTTTCTGTCATGGTAGTCAACTTTTGTCTAGGTCAGCCCAAGATCACACAGTGTACGGGGGCCCTAATGTGTAAAACTGTCAAATTTTGTAACAAGAATAAGAATAAGAATAAGAAATTTATGTTCTTTTAGTAGGTTTTCCAATTGGCATCTGCTTGGATAGGGAGTGTCAACCCAATTCCAAAAAACAAACAAACAAAAAAAGTTCATATGGTACATTTTGACAAACCATGGATACATCACATTTGTATATTATTTTGTTGCAGATGCTTTGAAACTTTACCTTTCTTAACAACTCTGTGATGAGGGTATGCTTGGGTTTATGCACAAAAATCACGGGGTTATGGTTAAGAAAAGATTATGTTTTGGCTTAAAACACCCAAATTTGGTGGCACAAATGCCCGTGGAAAAGCAGGGATGGGTCGGTGAAATACACCTAGGCTTGCTGGCTCAGGTGCCGCTGTGAAATGCTGTGATGTGCTACTAAAAACACCCAGGTTCTGTGCCACTGGTGTGGTGGAAATGCTGCGAAGGGTTGCCAAAAATCAACTGATGTTGGTTTTGAATTGTGGTCTGCAGCTTAGCAGGTGTCATATACACATAAGCTACAACAGTTAGCTTATGTGTGTGTTACATCACTTCAGAAATGTTGATTTGATACGTATGAATTGTGTAAATGTAACGTATTTGTAGTTTGCAGAAATGTATAATGTGCTTTTTTTGTTCTGGTGACTGGGCTGCGAGCATACATACCACACCAAGATACATTTTTGATTAGAGCTTGAAACCAAGAGGTGGCTTCTTGGGCAATATTTTTCCAGCAATTCAAATGAGCTGTTCTGTGGGCTAACTGTAACCTGTAAGGCCTGTTGGCTTTGCCCTGCTCATTCCCAGAGACGCTGCAGCAGGGTCAGGCTTTCTGTTCAGGAGTCTAATTGGACAAACACACCAAAGTAATTGCACTTGGGCACTACAATAGCAACATGCGCTGACAGTTGCCCATATTGCTGTGCTGTGTTTACATTCCACCAATGAGATTCATGAAAAAACTGTTATAAAATCTTTCCCTCCCTTTATTCCTCTTTGTCGATCATCTGTATTCCGTAGCCTTTCCTTGCCTCTGAATTCATTAACTCCTATCAGATCTTGTGTGCTGGCTATGGCATGGTGCTGATGGAGAGGCCCTGCCAACACCAGGGACAGCCTCTTATTGCTTCCATTCTTAGGCCCCATACCTGCAAAAACAAATTCCATGTTCCTCTCATTCATTTTGTCTAACTTCCCATTTTTTACTGCTTTACTGTTGCCTTGCTACCTTTTCTCCTTCCATCCATCAGTCCTCTGTGTATCTCTCTAACTTCTCCGTAGCTGAGTACCAATGTAGAATTCACTGATGCATTGCTTCATTCATTCATTCATTCATTCATTCATCTTCTAACCGCTTCATCCTCTTGAGGGTCGCGGGGGGGCTGGAGCTTATCCCAGCTGACACCGGGCAAGAGGCAGGGTACACCCTGGACAGGTCGCCAGACTATCACAGGGCTGACACATAGAGACAAACAACCATTCACGCTCACATTCACACCTACTGACAATTTAGAGTTATCAATTAACCTAGTCCCCAATCTGCATGTCTTTGGACTGTGGGAGGAAGCCAGAGTGCCCGGAGAGAACCCACGCTGACACGGGGAGAACATGCAAACTCCGCACAGAAGGGCTCCCACACCCTGGAGCGAACCGGCAACCCTCTTGCTGTGAGGCGACAGTGCTAACCACCACAACACCGTGCCACCCTGATGCATTGCTTATTCATCAAAAAAATAGTAGACTCTATTTATATTAGACATTAAAAGTATAGTCCAACATTCTGGAAATATACTTTACCGAGAGATGGACAAATAGGAAAGGAATTGGCGATTTTGAAAGGAATTGGCGATTAACCAAACTGGAAGAATCTCGTTTAATCTGGACAGACAGTCTCAAAACTTATAAGAGGGGCCTCCGCAATGCCAGAGCAAACTATTACTCAGCATTAATAGAAGAAAACAAGAACAACCCCAGGTTTCTTTTCAGCACTGTAGCCAGGCTGACTGAGAGTCAAAGCTCTATTGAGCCTTGTATTCCTTTAGCCCTTAGCAGTAATGATTTTATGAGCTTTTTTAATGACAAAATTCTAACTATTAGAGGCAAAATTCATGACCTCCTGCCCTCAGATGGTAGGCCTACCTATCTAACCTCAAACACAGCTGTAGAATCTAATATATATTTAGATTGCTTCTCCCCAATTTCTCTTCAAGAATTGACCGCAGTGATTTCTTCATCTAAATCATCAACGTGTCTCTTAGACCCCATCCCAACTAGGCTACTTAAGGAGGTCTTTCCTTTAGTTAACACTCATATATTAGATATGATCAATATATCCCTATTAACAGGCTATGTACCACAGTCTTTTAAGGTAGCTGTAATTAAACCTCTCCTAAAAAAGCCCACCCTGGATCCAGAGGTGTTAGCCAACTATAGACCAATATCTAATCTTCCCTTTATGTCAAAGATCCTTGAGAAAGTAGTCGCAGACCAGCTGTGTGATTTTCTCCAGGATAATAATTTATTTGAGGAATTTCAGTCAGGATTTAGAGTGCATCATAGCACTGAGACAGCTCTAGTTAAAATTACAAATGACCTTCTGATTGCTTCAGACAAAGGACTCGTCTCTGTTCTTGTTTTATTAGATCTTAGTGCGGCGTTTGACACAATTGACCATCAAATTCTACTGCAGAGACTGGATCACTTAATTGGCCTAAAAGGTTCAGCACTAAGCTGGTTTAAATCTTATTTATCTGATCGTTTTCAATTTGTTGACGTTCGTAATGAATCATCCTTACGTACCAAAGTTTGTTTTGGAGTTCCGCAAGGTTCTGTGCTCGGACCAATCCTATTTACTCTATATATGCTTCCTTTAGGTAACATCATTAGAAATCACTCTATAAATTTCCATTGTTATGCGGATGATACACAGTTGTATTTATCGATGAAGCCAGAAGAAAGTAATCAATTAACTAAACTCCATAACTGCCTTAAAGACATAAAAAATTGGATGAGCACCAATTTCCTGATGTTAAATTCAGACAAAACTGAAGTTATTGTTCTTGGCCCCAAACAACTCAGAGACTCTTTATCTGATGACATAGTTTCTCTAGATGGCATTGCTCTGGCCTCTAGCACTACCGTAAGAAACCTCGGAGTAATATTTGATCAAGATTTGTCTTTTAATTCTCATTTAAAGCAAACCTCACGGACTGCATTTTTTCATCTGCGTAATATTGCGAAAATTAGGCCTATCCTGACCCGAAAAGATGCAGAAAAATTGGTCCACGCTTTTGTTACCTCAAGGCTGGATTACTGTAACTCTCTATTATCAGGTAGCTCTAGTAAGTCCTTAAAAACTCTCCAGCTAATTCAGAATGCAGCAGCACGTGTACTAACAGGAACTAAGAAACGAGATCATATTTCTCCTGTTTTAGCTTCTCTGCACTGGCTCCCTGTAAAATCCAGAATTGAATTTAAAATCCTACTGTTAACTTATAAAGCTCTAAATGGTCAAGCTCCGTCATATCTTAGAGAGCTCATAGTGCCATATTATCCCACCAGAACACTGCGCTCTGAGAACGCAGGGTTACTCGTGGTCCCTAAAGTCTCCAAAAGTAGATCAGGAGCCAGAGCCTTCAGCTATCAGGCTCCTCTCCTGTGGAATCATCTTCCTGTTACGGTCCGGGAGGCAGACACCGTCTCCACATTTAAGACTAGACTTAAGACTTTCCTCTTTGATAAAGCTTATAGTTAGGGCTGGCTCAGGCTTGCCCTGTACCAGCCCCTAGTTAGGCTGACTTAGGCCTAGTCTGCCGGAGGACCCCCTATAATACACCGGGCTCCCTCTCTCTCCCTCTCTCTCTCTCTCTCTCTCTCTCTCTCTCTCTCTCTCTCTCTCTCATCCTATTACTGCATCTTGCTAACTCGGCCATTCTGGATGTCACTAACTCGGCTTCTTCTCCGGAGCCTTTGTGCTCCACTGTCTCTCAGATTAACTCATACCGCAGCGGTGCCTGGACAGCGTGACGTGTGTGGTTGTGCTGCTGCCGTGGTCCTGCCAGATGCCTCCTGCTGCTGCTGCCATCATTAGTCATTAGTCATACTTCTACTGTTATTATACACATATGACTATTGTCACACAAGTATACTGTCAGATATTAATACATACTTTCAACATATTGTACCACAGTAGCCAGAACTATAACTATAATATTATTACTTTCATTAATGTTGTTGTAAGCTACTGTCATTACCTGCATCTCTCTCTCTCTCTCTCTCTCTCTCTCTCTCTCTCTGTCTCATTGTGTCATATGGATTACTGTTAATTTATTATGCTGATCTGTTCTGTACGACATCTATTGCACGTCTGTCCGTCCTGGAAGAGGGATCCCTCCTCAGTTGCTCTTCCTGAGGTTTCTACCGTTTTTTTTCCCCGTTAAAGGGTTTTTTTTTGGGGGAGTTTTTCCTTATCCGCTGTGAGGGTCTTAAGGACAGAGGGATGTCGTATGCTGTAAAGCCCTGTGAGGCAAATTGTGATTTGTGATATTGGGCTTTATAAATAAAATTAAAATTGAAAATTGAAATAACATACAGAGCTTAGGTCAGGATATGGGTAGCCTAGCTTAGCATAAGGGCTGTATTACGCTTGTAATATTAAAATAGGGCCTTACAAAGTCAGTGCCTTAAACCCCTAAATACTGAATAATTGACATGAAATTATTCAAATGCAAAGATGCTAAATATAATCAAAACTGTGCATATTGACAGTGGCAGAGCTCTGTGACGAGTGAGCTCTGAGGTTTAAATCTCTATGTGGTTGAGTTTTCTCTGAGCACTGGTTCCATGGCTTACCAAAGAAGTGGACTATAAAGCCGTTCCCATAGCCGTAGACGTTGGTGGCAGGGTCAGACTGGAACTGAATGGTGACGTCTGCAGTGGAGGTATAGAGCTTAAATCGGGACTTTGATCCTCCGTACTGACCCAGGACTTTAGCTGTAAGGTCATCTCCATCATAGAAGGTCAACAGGTCATTCTTCCCGATGTTCAACCTGAAACAGGAGACACATACAGATTCAAATCTGTTCAGATCCTCATCCAGCTTTAGAACTGTTTTTTAGTGATATTTCAGCATGTACTGATACAGTAATCGCCAAATACCACTGCTTGGTCAGTGATTTTGGCATCAGACACAGACACTAAAAGCCACCTTTTGCGGTGGTGTGATATGCAGTCAATTAAATGAAAGGCACCTGTCGTGGCGGTATGATAGACCGCCAGACAGCATCAGTTTGTAACACTGCTGTTAACAGACTTTGACTTGGAAGCCTGGTGTTTGCTTCCTATATGAATGTTGAGCCAAACCATAATGTTTTTTTCTAAACTTAACCACTTGGTTTTGTTGCACAAGGAAATAAATGTAAATACGAGGTGGTTTACGGATGTTGTAGGTTTATTTTGAAAAGACTGAACGCACCTAATGAGCAGAAACTGTACTTTTCCTGTGAAAACGAATTTGTATTTTGAAAGGACACAATGCATTTAACAAGCGTAAATTGACACGTTGTCTAAGAATATCAACAACAAGTGCAGGGGAATACCTAGCGCATAATTTGTACACATAACGACACTGACAAAATTACAATATCTGACAAGTTGGGATGTGAACACCGTGGATATTTAGGTTTCTCTTTACAGTATTTTTTATGCTCATAAACAACAGTTGCACTTCATTTCCTGCTCTCTCTGCTCTCTTTGGCCTCACCCTTAAACTCGCTCTTGCAGTGAATGACAAGGTTGCATTTTTAAAATGACCATAATTGCTCAAAGAGGGCCGTGATAACTCCAGGTCAGACCGAGGTTACTTATTACTGAGAAAGACTATTACATCATTGACGAGGGGCAGCATGGTTCCCATTTCCTCGTTCTTGAGGACACCATTGACAGGATAATAATGTGACTATCGACAAGGTGAGATCTTGTAGTTCACATCATTTTATATTTATGGAAAACTATGGTGTTTTTCAACCTGGCTTTTATTATTATATTTTTGTCCATTATGACAGTGGTCATAATAACATCTTGCTAACAGCTCTGTTGTAGAGATTATGGAAACATGGAAACCAGTAAGCACAACTTCAGTTGGGGCTTTTAACGAAAACATGCTGCTTTCCAAAAAAACGTAAGTACAATGGAAATGATCATAAACATTTCTGTTTCAGTTGACCGAAATGTGTGATAAACACTCAAAGCTTGATGTTAACTTAGAGCTGAGCAGAGCTTTCAACTGGCACAGAAAAACGTTTTGTGGAAATCCCTTGTAACAAATTAAGCAGCAAATGTAGAGCCATAGCTGTTCCTTTTATCAACTAGTGCCAGTCAATAAAAACTGCACTGTAATGTCATTTCTATTTTTGTACATCAAAACTAATGGATTAAAGGTCAGACCATCTTCTCACATTTTCTATTACAGCACTAGCATGCACACAAACTAAATTAAACAGCCTCATAGTAACAAACTGATGTACAAGCACGGACACGGCAGGTAAATCAGCTGACAAGCGCATGAATACAGAATGCTCTAGGATACAGTTTGAACACGAATTTCAAGGGGAACTACTTTCTATGTTTACTTTGAGTTAGACTAAACAACAGTTGTTTAAGGGGGTAGTTTGGTTATTTATGATTTCATTTCCAAAGTTGGGGAACTAATGAGAGGGGCCAAAATATACTGACTTCTCAGGGACCTGGGCCCTTATCGTAGTAGACTTGACCCCAAAGTCCTGCCCGTTTGATTGGTGTGAACACTGTGCACCAAACCAGGGTATGGTGCACAGATCCATTCCCAAGTCCACTTAAAAGGTGGTCTCTGGTACGGTTAATATGTACTCCAGTACAATATGCATGAAAATATTAGATGGCAGCACAGGCCACTATAGACAGACCCAGATGTGGCTTTGTTGCCTACTTCAGCCTGCCCAACACCAGCGGCTCATCCTCTGCTCCTGGCCGGAGGGGCAATCGTACTTGGGCACTGTGTGAATGAAAACACTCTCAGTCCCTTGTCATGCTTCAAAAAGGGAACAAAATAAAATTTCAAGGAGGCTACATCATCAAATCTCAGCAAAGTACTGTTCCAATGTTAAGGATCCTTTGAATTTTATTGAGGACTAAGTCCTTCCTTCAGAGAATTTTCAAAGATACATGTGTGCATCCTTAGCAGGCATGAAGTACCCACAATTCTTTGCGCACTATTTGCCGGAATTGAAGGTGGGGAAATTTTAAGCACATCTGGGCACTCGCTAGCCTGTTCCAAGGAAGCATCCTTGCCTTTGAGAAGCACTAACTTTCTCCTCATCTCCATGCCTTCTCTTACAAAAAAGAAGTTTATTTAACTATGCTACTAATATACCTCTTTTACACAAAAAAAATTGAGAGTATACTTTTACGTTTACTTTTTTATGTACTTATCAAGAGATATAGGGGAGACTGGGGTAAGTTGAGCCAAAGGGTAAGTTGAGTCACCCCTTGTTGCTCGGAAACCATACATAAAATTGAGCATGTGACCAAATATTTAGGAGGAAGGCATCATTTTATGGAGTCTGTGAAGGTAAGAACCACATGGGTTAAGTGGTTAGAGATTTATGTCCAAAAAAGCATTTTGCACTCATCAAAGTGAATTTAGTCTATCGTAAGTTTCATGGGGATTGTGTGTAGACCAAAATAGATCATTTTTAATTTGTTTTATACATCAATTGTGGTATCTATTAGCTACAAAATGAGGTAGTACAGCTAGCATGAAAGTGCACCATTTTAGCTGTGGGGTCTAATAAAGTCGATATGGTAGCTATGGGGTAAGTTGAGCAATTTGAACAGGGGTAAGGTGAGCCGTAAGTTTCTGAGAAGAGGCAAAGCTGGATATGGTAAACCAAGCTTTACTTTCAAGGAGAAAGATGAGGGATTCTTCCCAAGAAGTGATGTAATCGCAAAACTCCCCAAACCTCAGAGTCCCAGCAGTTTGTTTTCCCCTGCAACCTGGACAGGTGGGATACTGAGTAAAGGGACAGGTGAGATATGGATGGAAGGAGGGAGGGGGGTGGATGGAACGAGAGTAAGATGGAGGGAGGAGTTCAGAGAGGATGAAGGAGGCCCTCCTGTCAGCAAGGACACTAAACTAGGATTCACTTTTACGGATTTAGTTCATTGTTTTCTTTCCAAAAACACAGCTGTTAAGGTTCTCTTCCTAAGCGCCCTTTAAGGCATTCTCAGGCCTATGTTAAAAAGTTTTAAAGTTGTTATATGCAATAATAATTAAAAAAAAAAGATTTGTACCTGTTGAATTGTGTATTATAAATAAAAATACACATGGATTTGAAGAAGCATCTTATTTAATTCAGTACAGACATGTATAACTGGAATATCTTAACCCCCCCCTCAACTTACCCCACTAAGTAAGTAAGTTGTGCCACGATACCACTTTTTTAGGACATGCTATATTATCAAAACAGTTATGTTTACACTCATTCTGTTTGTTTGTAGGGATGCACAACATCCTGAAATATATGCACATATATTAGTTAGCAACAAAACTATAATAGCCTTGATGTGGTGATCCTGAATATGAAAAGTGGCTCATCTTACCCCGGTCTCCCCTACTTACCAAGCGCATACTAATGAAATTAAATGATTCATACTGACAAGTATAAAAAAGTCTGAGTATATTTTCCTTACACTTGTATTTAATCTTTTGATTAAGATATACTTAAGAGAAGTATTATTAAGTATTCTTGCCTAATACAGAAAGTTTAAGTATCCCAGATAGGAAGGTGACTGATTCAATGTTGAAATTCCATCAGTCATTGTTTTTGTTAAGGTAAATATTCAAGGCTAAATAATATGGAATCAATGCTGATAAGTTTTTGCTTCTTTGTTTTCATTGTAGTCTTTGCTACAATGTTGAAATGACGACACTGAATTCATATAGATTTTTGGTTGGCAGCATTGCCCACTGACAAGTGGGGTTTAGTATTGCCATGTCAGTCTACCTGTCCCCAAGGGTGTAAGTAGTTTTAAATTCTTACCAGTACTATTACCAAGACCTTCATTGCTTCATATCCACTCCTTGCTTCATGCATTTTTAAAAAGCAAAGTCAAAAACCAAACAAACAAATAAATAAAAAGATTTCAATATTTTACTGTACCTGTATGGAGTAGAAAGAAATTAGAAACACTTCACAACGTGTATAGTAAAATATTTTTTTTCTCTTTTCCTCTTTACCTATTTTTCATTGTAAAAAACATTGATCAACATCTGCAATAAACTCAATAAACTATTTAAATGTTTACTATTTAAATACCTGACAGCGTTTGAGCCAGCCACAAGAATATGTGAAATTTCATTGGTTTCATGTATTGTTTGTCCTGTCCCGCCGCAAACGGCGTTTTTTGACGTCCGTGTTCCAGTTGTGGAAATCAAACGTCCCAGTACAATAAATCAAGTGCACCCTAACCGCTGTGTTTCGGAAGTATGCCGCATTCATTTGGCAATCCAGGCCGGTCATTCCTTGTCGGATTTATATGACCGTATGACACGTCTGATCTGAAAGTGTTCCACTGCAACAATCCGGAAAACATGGCAGCACACCGTAAGTTTGTTTTTGTTTGCATGGTTGCTGAGCAACGGAGACTTTAGGCTACAACGGGCTTGCACAGACTTTTTTCCAACACAAATCAACAGTGGAAACAGAAAAGCCATTGCAAAGTACTTGTATGATTTTTACAACACAAACGCTTAATAAACAGCATATACGAGGACAAATTGAGGACAAATAACTTTGTTTACCATTCACAATGTGCACAGCCATCTTTGTCGTGACGTCAATTCGACCGACTCGGTCTACCTGGACCTTGCCCGAGTTTGATGACGAGACCTCCGGGTAGAACGGGTGTTCTTTTGTACCTTTCCGGACCGGAAACCGTATCAATCCCGGTTCCGGCTACCAATAGAATGCAGCAGTAGACGCGCATGCGCAGTCACGTACTGCTGAGAGTG